CCCCGTCTCCAAAAAAAAAAAAAAAAAGTCTTAGGTACCTAAATCCTGAAAGTATATCTTCAAATGGTGTACAAACCAGAGTAATTCCTACTTGGCCAAATGTCTTAATGTTATACAAATGAACAAGACATAGACACAGTGCTTCAATGGAGTAGACTGACAAACTTTTTTTTTTTTTGAGACAGAGTCTCACTGGCTTCTCCAGTCCCCTGCCCTCTGACCTTGCGTGAGTGCCTCCCAAGGATCTTTGGGAAGTGTGGTTCCCTGCGACACAGAGCCAAGAATAAGAGCAAAGAACGGACCCAAGAGCAGATAGGCGGTAGATAACACAGGCGTTTACACAGAAATGCAACTAATAAATGAGTGGTAAGGGAAAAAAGGCGAAGGAAGATGGAGGGAGATCGAGGGCTGAGAAGCTTGGAGAGACTTCACTGAGGTAGGATCTGAAGACAGGGCTGAGTTGGACACATATGTGTGGACAGCTGAGTGCTATTAAAAGATGTCTCAAGAAATAGGAGAGTGAAAAGAATGACCGTTTGTTAACCACCTTTGATACTGAATTCCCGTAATAACTGCGGGTAGGTGGCAGCTCTATTTTTAAATGAGGTTACCTCCATCTCCCCTGCCCAGATCCATTCTCTGCCCTTCTCCATGCCCCAGAAGGCTGACCCCGCAGATTTCGTCTCCTGCACTCCTTGTCTGCTGGTTTCCGGTTAGGTCTGGCCGGTTGGAGGCACCAGCAGGAGACGAAAAGTTGGGGCAAGAGTGAAGTTGGGGTATTTCTTCCCCAGCCCCTCTGGCGGCAGCTGCGTTCCTCATGCCAAGTGGTCCCTTTTCCTGGGTCCAGGTCTCACCAGGGGCTGGGGACAGTTTCCTCCGCCTGTTCCTTCAGCCCTAAGCTGGTAACGACTCCACTGTCCGAGCGCTCAGCTCTCTTAGCTGTTCCCTGGACTGTTCCCACACCTTGGTGCACAGTCCTTTCACTAGGTCTGCAGTCAGTTCTGTTCCCTCTGCTACGTGCAACTAGGATCCAAATCCAGCTCTTGCAAATTCCGAACCCGCTGCGCAATGGAGAGTGTTTTCATTCAAATATATTTTAGTAATATATTACTGGAAATAATCTGTGAATTTGGGTTTACATTTTTTTCAGGAGACAAATCTTATCTAGTGATAGTAATAAAAATAAAAAATAGATGTTTGTGTATGAGGATGGGGGAAAGACAGAGAAAGAGACAGAGAGAAAGAGAACACACATTTTATGTTTTCTTATCTGTTAATATCTGATCTGCCCAATAACCCTATAATGTGAGCCAGGAAAGAGCATTTCATCCCATTTTTGGAGACAAGAGACCTGGAACTCACCAAAGTTATACCGCAACATAACCAAAACCAGAACGCAAGTCTCCAGACTATGGGTTCTGTGCTCTTTCCTCTTTGTACGTGATGCATATTATAGATTTTTCTTTTTAAGAAATGGTGATTAAATGGTGCCTCGGTTAATTACCTATAATAATATCAATTTTCTTTATGGCGTTTACCTAAATGACTTCTAAGAAATGCTATATCCTATTTATTGGTTGCAAAGGAGATAATTTGTATAGTCAGTAATTTTGACAGTCTTGTTGAATCAGCTAATAACATGCACAAGCATTCTATAATTCATTCCTAATAGGATTTTCACATTTGTATGCCATAATCACTGGAAAATGAAATCTCTAAATATTTATTCATGGTAAGAATTTTTGTATTTAATATCTAGTATTATAGAAAACAAAAGCAAACAAAAATATGTAATGATGGTTTCACAAACTATTCGAGGGGTTAACTGTCCCATGTCACTTGTTGGGAAGCCATGGGGTTCGTGGATAGTGCTTCTGAGGTGCTCCTAAGGGCAAGGACTGTGTCTAGCACTGTGCTTGCGACATGGCAGATGTCTGCTCCACGTCTGATGAAGGAATTCCTCTTAAGCTGCCCAATATACCTTACATTTAGAATTGTCTGATCTGGTTTAATTATAGCCAGTATTAATTTGCACTTACTATATTCATGTCCTTTGCATGAGATAATATATCTCATTTAATTCTCACAAGAACCCTGTGAAATAGGTAGGACTATTGCCCCTGATTTAGAGATGAGGAAACTAAGGTTCAAGGGTAGTTAAATAACTCGGTGAAGGATACACAGCTAGAATTCAGATTCAAACGAGACTGTCTGACTCCAGGTTTTGGAATCCCATGCTCTTAACCATTAAACTACACTGCTTTCCTCCCTGGAGTTACATATCCTCAATAAATGTTAGCTATTATTATTATTATTGCTATTGTTTTTGTCATTGTTATTAAATCAAATGAGTAAGATAACAAGTAAAGGATATGTTAATCAGAGAGCTTTAAGCAGGTAGTTAATAGAAAGTTGGAAAAGGCAACTCTTCCCTTCTCTTTTCCAAGCACATTCCCAGGGCTGTCTTTTAGTTTTCTCTTCCCTACATTTCAGGAGAGGTTGGAAGGAGTTAAAGGGCGTAGGAAAAAGAAAGTAAAGGAAAAAAGGGAAGGAGCGGATTCAACTGTTTCTTAGGTTGAGACCTTGCAATATTTAAACACAAAAGTCCCTATTTTTTAAAAACAAACCCAATTTAAATGCAATGTAAGGTCAGTGGAATGATTTTTGAATGCCTATACTTGCTACCTAAGAATTACTGAGAGAAACGGAAGGCATTTCTACAAATAGCTTTTTAAGGTGATACGAACCATCTACATCAGCTATCCTCCAAACACTTATTTCTAAGGAGGTAAGCAAGTCTCATTAGTAAGTGTTTCATATTAATTATATTTGGATGGTTTATTTATATTACTTATTCTCTGACTTATTTGAGAAAAGATTCAAATCTGCTTTCACAGACCCATATAATACTGTGAGAAAAAGTGAAGTAACCAAGGAAATAAGGGTAGCAGACACGATGGTTTTGTTTAGATAAAACTTACAGTACAACGACGTTGCTTTTCTAACGTTCTGTATTTCACTTTAAAGGTCTGTGGCCTCTTGTATCATATACATGGGCAAGACCTGTATGCCTATGTTATAGCACATAGCTCTTTACATTTGTGTTGTAAATTATTATGGTTTGGTATGGTAGAGTATAATTTAAATACCTTTACCTTTGCTTTTGAAGTACAATATATGGTTGCCATTATTCACGATTTATTCAACACTAAGTCACTGATTGTGCATGTTTTGGGGGAGGAGGTAAAACTCATTTTCCATTCTTCATGTTTCCTTGCAGAGGGACTTTCTTAGAAATCCATTGCTGCCCTCCCTCGCCACCCTTTACTTTTTTGGAGGACTTTTCTAATTAATTAAGTTCGAATGAATTATCAAATCCTTCTACTCTCTCCTCTGTGAGATCTGCTAGTTTGCAAACAGGGTATTTTCTGTCCTGTTTTTTCCACCAAGGGGAGAGCTCCACAGGGCAGGTTCTGCCCCTCCTGGGTAGGTCTGCTGTCTGGAGGGAGTCGGTTTCGTGTATTTCGGGGGATGTATTAACACGTCCACGGGGACACGTAAGCCATGTTGTCCAAGTAGGCTTATCCATATTCAAAGTGATATTTTGATCTCCATCTGCCACATTTCTCTGCCCACCTATCAGTTGTTTGTGAAAACATGAGAGGACGAAGTAATTTAACACCCTCAAATCCCAACAGTACTTCCGTTTGTGCAGTCATCCTACAGGAAAAGGGAATTCATTTTTCTGCAATCTACTTTACTGTGTGGTTCCAAGCACGTGCAGGCTCTGGGTGTGGCTCTACCCACTTCCCAGCTGTGCGCTCCTGGTTGCGCAAGTCATCTAACCTGTCTTAGCCTAGCTTCTTCGCGGGGCTCTAAGAGTACTTACCTTATACAGAGCAAAGATTAAATACAACAATGTACTCAAGGCAGGACCCGCACAGAGAATGACTGTACGATTCGGTAACTGTGGACCACTACAGCCCATCACACACCCCACTAAGGACCACCTGCATCTCAAACGTTTCCATGTCTGATTTTTAAAACCAGCAACACAGGGGAAAATATTTGGGGAAATAAAAAAGAAGAAAGTAAGAAAGCTTATTTCGTATAAATCAAAGGAAATTATTCATAATATTTCTTGACATTTCTGTAATATTATAGAGACCAAAGAAACCCACTCGTGATTCCCAAAGTGTGTCACTACGAAATCCACCAGTTTGTCCGAGATATTAACAGTCAACGATATGGCTGGCGCGATCTCGCCCTCTGGTGACGGGAGAAGGTGATGCTCCGATCTCACAATGGGGTATCGCGACAAAACCATAATCCTGTACGGGAATGAAAAGAGACACGTGCATCCTTGTCAGTCCCCGCAGCATGCAGAACAGGACCGAGCAAATACGGTAAGAAGGCATGTGTTCCCCCACAAGCGCCCACGGAGGGACACGCAGAGCAATAACGTGGCGGAGACTTTGTGGCAGCCTGCTTGTCGGATCAGCACTCCTCTGGTAGTTAGCACGTCCCCTGTGCCACGACACCAGCAACTCTGTTTTAATAAGTGCCGTGGAGACACGAAAAGGGCAGCATTAGTAATGCACAAAACCCATTTTACTTGCATTGTTTTCCTGACAACACATTTGCATAAACAATTCTAATATTAATATTAATCAACACATATGGGCATGTACAATCTTGCCAGCAAGGATGCAAAGTAACAACTTATAAAATTAGAAATTGAAAAACAACAAGGGGATGAAAAGGCATTCCACCCCACTCTGTCAAAGAGCTACATGTGAAAAGGAGGAGCAGAGCTCAGACCCCGGCAGGCTTCTCTCCCCTAGCGACGTGCACTGTCTCTGTCGCCCCCGTGGAGTCTCTCAGACAGGCCCATCTCCACCTGAGGACACCTGAAGATGCATGTCCAGCCTGGCCTGTCCCACTCAGCCCTCCAGGCCATACACAACTGTCTTCTGGGCGTCACCTGACCGTCCAGGGGCATCTCACACTCAGCACAAACTGCTGCTCTCCCGGTGGTTCCCGTCCCATTAGATGGCATCGTCTCCTATCAGGTGTTCAGGTCGAAAACCTGGCCATATCTTCAGCACCTCCCCATCCCCCAAAAGCACCATCGGGGCATATTCACAGGACAAGCATATAACAACATCAACTGTCCACTCCACGCCTGTGCTGCCTAGCCTTTCAGGACTATGTTTGGCATTACTACCCAAGGTGTTAATATACTCACCCCCAAGTGTGATCCCTTGTGCTTGGACCAAAGTCTGTGTAGAACCCCAG